AAATTATTTTTATTTTTATTTTTTGTCCTGGACAGTATTTGAGGTGAGCCCAGGCATGGGGAGGAAAGGAGGGACCCCCTGAGAGGAATTTTGGGGAATTTCTCTGCAAATTCACAAATCCCCTGTGGCATTTTTTTTTTTTTTTGCACTGGCAAGAAGGAAATTTCCTGGCATGAAATGGGAAAGGGGGAAAAAAAAAAAAATCCCGCTGTGCTCAGACCTGGCTGAGGTTGGTTTTATTTTTTCTTTCCCCTCCACTTTCTCTCTGCTGCCTCTGGTCCTGCAGGAGGAAAATCCTGGAATCTTCTGGTCTGCAGGAGGACAATCCTGGGCTTGCAGGAAAATGATCCTGGGAGTCTCTGGTCCTGCAGAAGGACAATCCTGGAAATTTCTGGGCTTTTAGGACAATCCTGGGAGTCTCTGGTGCTGCAGGAGGACAATCCTGGGTGCAGGAGGACAATTCTGGGCTTTTAGGAAAATCCTGGGAGCTTGTGGTCCTGCAAGAGGACAATCCTGGGAGCAGGAGGAAAATCCTGGAATCTTCTGGTCTGCAGGAGGAAAATCCTGGGCTTGCAGGAAAATGATCCTGGGAGTCTCTGGTGCTGCAAGAGGACAATCCTGGGAGCAAGAGGACAATTCTGGACTTTTAGGACAATTTTGGGAGCTTGTGGTCCTGCAGGAGGACAATTCTGGGAGCAGAAGGATAATCCTGGGCTTGCAGAACCATCCTGGGCTTGCAGGAAAATGATCCTGGGGGTCTCTGGTCCTGCAGGAGGAAAATCCTGGAAACTTCTGGGCTTTTAGGAGGACAATCCTGGGAACTTCTGGTCTGCAGGAGGACAATCCTGGAAACTTCTGGGCTTTTAGGACAATCCTGGGAGCCTCTGGTGCTGCAGGAGGACAATCGTGGTCCTGCAGGACAATCTTGGGAATTTCTGGGATTGCAGGAGGACGATCCTGGAAGCTTCTGGGCTTGTAGGACAATCCTGGTGCTGCAGGACAATCCTGGGCTTTTAGGACAATCCTGGGAGCAGGAAGACAACCCTGGGAACCTCTGGGCTTGCAGGAGAATGATCCTGGGAGTCTCTGGTCCTGCAAGAGGACAATGCTGGGCTTGTAGAACAATCCTGGAAGCCTTTGGGCTACCAGGACAATCCTGGGAGCTTCTGGGCTTGTAGGAGAATGATCCTGGGAGCCTCTGGGCTTGTAGGAGAATGATCCTGGGAGCCTCTGGGCTTTTAGGACAATCCTGGGAATCTCTGATGCTGCAGGACCATCCTGGGCTTGCAGAACAATCCTGGGGGCCTTTGGGCTACCAGGAGAATGATCCTGGGAGCCTCTGGTGTTGCAGGAGGACAATCCTGGGCTTGCAGGACAATCCTGGGAATCTCTGATGCTGCAGGACCATCCTGGGCTTGCAGGAGGACGATTCTGGTCCTGCAGGACACGGGTCACTGCCAGCCCCGTGTGCCAGGACAGGAACGCCCCGTGCCCCCCTGGCAGCGTCCAGAGCTCAGGGGGGGGAAGATTTGGCTGCTCCCAGGGGATCCTCAGAGGGACCAGGTGAGAAGGAACCCCACAAATCCTGGAGGATCTTTGGTTTTTGAGCAGCTGCTCCCTCTGAACACCGAGTTCCTCCCAGCTGAGGGAGCCTGGCCCTTTTTGCTCCTCGATTTTCGGGGGGGGCTCTGCTGTCCCTGAGCAGCCTCCTGGGTGCTCCTGCTCTGTCCCCACCCTCGGATTTCGGGCAGGAATTGGAGCCCTGGACCTGCTCAGGGCTCTTCCCTTGGCACCCCTGATCCTGGTGAGGATTTTCCATGCCTGGAGCATCCCTTAGACCTGGAAAACCTGGAAATCCTCCTGGGAATGGCGGGGGGAGCCGCGGGGGGACCCCAGCTCCTTCTCCTCGGCCTCCCACAGGTTGTCGTAGCTCTGGAAGCTCTGGAGCTCGGCGTAGTCGTGGAAGGACACGGAGTCCCGGCAGGGACAGGTGACACCTGCAGGGACACGGGGGGACAAGGGGTCAGGGGACAGCAGGGGAGGGGGGGGAGGAAGAGGAGGAGAATCCCAGAGCAGGGGAAGCGAGGCAGGAGTCCCCCAGGTGACAGGGGAGGGCAGGTGACACAGGTACAGGGGACACAGGTACAGGGGACACAGGTACAGGGGACACAGGTACAGGACAGGTGGCACAGGATAGGTGACACAGGTACAGGGTAGGTGACACAAGACAGATGACAGGGGAAGGCAGGACAGGTGACACAGACACAGAGCAGGAGACACAGGCACAGGTGACACAGACACGGGGAAGGTGACACACATACAGGACAGGTGACACAGGGAAGGTGACACAGACACAGGTGACAAGGAGGGATGAGGGGCAGAGTCCAGCTCTGGGGGATGCTGATGGGGGTCTCACCTGGGGGATGCAGAGAAGGGCTCAGGTGTTCCTGGGGCAGGGAGGGGATCTGGGGAGAGAGGAACAGCCCAGGTGAGGGGGGCACAGCCAGGTGAGGGTGGCACAGCCAGGTGAGGGTGCCATCCTGGGACTCTGCCCAGCCTCACCCCTGCTCACCAGGGTGGCCCCCAAGTGTCCCCTGCACCCTTTGAGTGTCCCCTGCACCCCCCAGGGAATTCCCAGCCTCGCCTCCCCCAGGTAGGAGCCCTGGGCAGGTGCCCACGGCGGGCGTGAGGTGCCCGGGGTGCTGCAGGTGGGGGCCGTGGCACTGCACACCTGGCACTGCACATCTGGAACTGCACACCAGGAAATGCACACCTGGAACTGCACACCTGGAACTGCACACCTGGCACTGCACACCTTGTACATCCATCCTGGTCCTACATCTATTCCCATTCCCCATCCATCCCCATCCATCCCGATCCCACATCCACCCCCATCCCACCCCCGTCCCCCCCCTTACCCTGCCCAGCTCCAGCTGATGCTGCAGGGCTTGATGCTGCTGTGGGGTGAGATGATTTGGGGTGAGATGCTGTGGGGTGTGATATTGTGGGGTGTGATGCTGACTTGGGGTGTGATATTGTGGGGTGTGCTGATTTGGGGTGTGCTGATTTGGGGTGAGATGATTTGGGGTGTGATATTGTGGGGTGTGATGCTGATGTGGGGTGAGATGTGGGGTGAGATGTGGGGTGTGATGCTGATGTGGGGTGAGATGCTGGGAGCTCTGTGCCGAGTAGGGCTCGTGGTACACCGGGGACTGCATCTCTGCTTTGGGGTTTTCGGGGATGAGGCTGCAGATGCTCCTCTCGGGGTCCTGCTGCCCGCTGCTCTTGCCCTTGGATTTCCTGGCGCTGTTCCCCCTGCGCAGCTCCTGCGTGGGCAGCCCCGAGCTGTGCCAGCCGGGCTGTGCCAGGCTCTGCAATGAGACCACACACCCTGGAGCTGCGCCTGGGAACACTGGGAATCCACAGGGACACGGCTCCGCGATTGGGAATTGTCCTGGAGCTGCCCCTGGGTCCTGCCCCACACGCTCTGACATCCCTGGAGCTGCGATTCCTGCCCGGGGTCAGAGCAAAAATCCTGCCTGGCCGTCACCCCCACCCCCTGCAGCTTTTATCTGGGCATTTGTCAAAATTGGGAAACTCTTGTTGGCCTTTTGGTAATGTTTTGTAAATCCTCAATAGATCTAATACAGGGCAGAGGACTGGGATGGGACTGGGAATGGGAATGGGAATGGGAATGGGAATGGGAATGGGAATGGGAATGGGAATGGGAATGGGAATGGGACTGGGGAGGGGATGGGATGGGACTGGGAATGAGACTGGGACTGGAATGGGAATGGAAATGGAAATGGGAATGGAAATGGGACTCGGAATGGGACTGGGACTGGGAATGAGACTGGGACTGGGATGAGAATGGGACTGGGATGAGAATGGGACTGGGATGAGAATGGGACTGGAACTAGCACTGGGATGGGACTGGGATCCCTCAGCAGCCTTTCCAAGCTGATCCAGGACAAGCCCAGGCTCCAGGCAGGGATTATCCCCAAACCCACAGCAAACACCACAAACACCCCCAGCCCCAAAGGCAGCGCCCAGCCCCATCCCAGGGGATCCCCACAAGCACCCCAGGCTTTTTTTGGGGTTCACCTACATGCAGAGGCTGGGAGTATCCAGGGGACAGGGGCTCCTCGGGGGGTGGCAGGAAGGAGTGGCCATCGGGCAGGGAGCCACTGGCCTGGGACAGCTGGGTCAGGGTGGTCACTCTCCCTGCAGACGCCCAGGAGTTGGTGCGGCCATCCGAGCTGAGCGAGCCCCTCCCGCTGCTGGCGAACTGCACGGGGACAGGGACAGCCTTGGGGACACAGCCCTGCTGTCCCCGAGCCCTGGGCTGTGCCCCCATGGCCAGCAGGGCCGGGTTTGGGGTGAGCCGGGGCCATGAGGGGGTGCCCAGCAGGATCCAGGCACGCAGCCCCACCCCAGCTGGAATATGTCCCGTTCCTTGCAGGAATCACAGAATATTCCAGCTGGGAATCACTGGGAATCATTCCACACGGATCACTGAGTGCAAAACCCAAATCTCTGTCCTGGTGCCAGTGCCCAGCCCCGCCCTGGCCATGCCCAGACTCTGCTTTCGAAGGAATTCGGTGCCATTTCTGCCTGTAGAACTCTTTAAATAATCCCCAGGGATCAGCAGCTGGCTGAGAGCTCAGAGCAGAGCCTGCCGTGTCACCGGAGTGTCACCGGAGTGTCACTGGAGTGTCACCCAAAGCTCCAGCATCCCTCACCTGGCCGGGCTGTGGCAGCTTTGACCCCGAGAAGCTCTCGGACCCCGACAGGGAGGAGTCAGCGTTTCGGAACTGCGCGGTTTTGAGGCAGTAGAGCCACTCCTGGTAATCCTGGTAGCTGGGACAGGTCACCCGGATGGAGTTTATCAGCCGGCCTGGAAAAACATCCCCACCCCGGTGCTGATCCCGGGCTGGATCCCTCAGGAACCCTCGGGAATTCTCCTGCTCCATCAGACCCACATCCCCAGGATCTGGAGGTGTTGGGATAGGAAATACTCTGCCCTCGGGAATTCTCCCTGCTCCATCCCCACCCACATTCCCGGGATCCGGAGGTGTTGGGATAGGGAATGCTCTGCCCTCGGGAATTCTCCCTGCTCCATCCCCACCCCGGTGCTGATCCCGAGCTGGATCCCTCAGAAATCCTCGGGAATTCTCCTGCTCCATCCCCACCCCGCATTCCCAGGATCTGGAGATGTCGGGTAGGGAATGCTCTGCCCTCGGTGCTGCTCTGGCTCCCAGGCTCTCCTGCCAGGACACAGAGGATCCCAAATTCCCAAGCAGGGCAGCTCAGGGAGCCTGGAAGGTGCCACCACAACCCCGAGCCCCCCGTGGCTGTGCCAGGCGCACCCACCTTCGATCAGAAAGGAGCTTTTGTCGTTCTCCTCAAAAAGCACCTGGATGGCGTTGAGCGGGAGCTCTCCCTGCGGGCAGAGGGGCAGGATTGGGATCAGCAGAGCTCCCGTCCGTGCCACGGGCACAGCTCGGGGCTGCAGCCCCCGCAGGCACCGCTCAGCCAGGCTCTGCTGCCACAGGAGCGATCCCAGAGACATTCCTGCTGCCCCCTGCACATCCCAGAGAGATTCCCACTTCATCCTGCACATCCCAGAGACATTCCCGCTCCATCCTGCACATCCCAGAGACATTCCCGCTCCATCCTGCACATCCCAGTGACATTCCTGTGTCCTGCTCATCCCAGTGACATCCACTGCAGGATTTGGGTCAGCCTCATCCCAGCCCCATCCCATCCCTTTTCCCACTGCAGGAATGGGGTCAGCCCCATCCCAGCCCCATCCCAGCCCCATCCCAGCCCCATCCCAGCCCCATCCCAGCTCCATCCCAGCCCTTTCCCTGCCCCGCACACTTGGCAGGGGCAGCTCCTGTGGTCTTTGTGAAGCTGCAGAACAGCAGGGCCGGGCTGGGCCGGGCCGGGCTGGGTTGGGCCGGGCTGGGCTGGGCTGGGCTGGGCTGGGCCGGGCCGGGCTGGGTTGGGCCGGGCTGGGCTGGGCCGGGCCGGGCTGGGTTGGGCCGGGCTGCTCCCCCCGGCTGCAGGGAAGGGAAGCAGCCCCAGGAGGAGGCTCCCGTGCCCCGACACGCCCGTGGAAAAGCAGGTTCCCTGTCACAGGCTGGTGAATCAGCGCCCAGACCGCGGCTCCGGCACCGTGGGAAGGGAACACGGCCTGGGAAGGGAACTTCGCACGGGGCAGGTTTAGGGTTTCAAAAGAAATGAGCTCATGGGAGAGCCCAGCCCCGTTCCCAGGAGCACATTCCCGAAACCAGGCTGTGCCCCAGGCGTGTCCCAGCTGCTGGAAAACGCCTCCCAGAGCTGCTCTGGGATGGGGAGAGCTCTGCCTGGGCACGGCCCTCCTCACTC